ACATCATCATTTGAATAATTCTCTGAATTTTCCTGAAGAGGAGGAAACACTCAGATCCTCAGGGAAAGGGACCAATGGAAGGAACATGCTTTCCTTTTTCAGGTATGGCCACCTAAATACTCAGGGCCAGGTAGGTATGTAAAATCTAAGAATAGATTCACAGGTAGTGGGGCTAATCCTAGGTACTCCTGTTCCCTCCAGAATTCGCTGTAAATACCTGGTGATCATGAGATATGGACACAAAGTGGGGAATGTAGTAGCAACTCAACTGATGCTATGTTTTCTAGATCTTTATTAATGTAAAACAGCAATACACTTCTATGCTTTTGTCTCATGAAAAGTTCCCTTAAAATATTCTCAGATTTTATATTCTTATTTTCCTCAAGATTGAGCTGAAACAAAAACCCTTTTGGTAGATTTTAAATATTGACTTCTCATAGCAAAGGAAGACAGGAAGATAGCCGAGGCATTGTGAGAACTATACTTAACCTGGAACTGGAAGATGTCCATTTGAGTTTTCTCTTTCTCTTGGTGATCTTGGGCAGGTAACCTTTCTATATATTTCAGGGTTTTACAAATTTAAATGAAATAATATATAAAATTGATTTTTAAACTAAAAGATATAAATGTATTATATGAACATAGCTGTAGTATTTTATTTTTCTGTTCTATATAATCTACTGTAATAGGCTTAAACTTCTTGGGTTCTTTTGGGATGTGATAACATTCAGGCTCTGCTTGGCTTTATGGAGTCAGCAGATTCTCCAAGTCAGGGATATTATGACAGCGAGGGAGAGAATGGGAAAGGCCAAGACAGAGGTGCCAGATTTCCTACTTCCAATGAGAAAGCAAAACAAAGAGACATCTACTTGCTAACCCACACAGAGCCTTTCCTCTTCCCTCAGTGCTGCCTAGAAGGATGCCCAGTGGTACACATCCTTTTATACAAGAGGCTTCTTATAAAGGCCTGGCCATATTTGTGGGGCTCTGGGCCAAAGAGTTCCCAGCTAGAGGCCAGTTAGGAGGGAAAAGGCAGAGGAGCAGGAAGCAAGCCAGAGAGACAAGGGGGCCAGGAAAGTGCCAAAACACAGGGAGGCCAGCCTGGGATTTATGCGCTGAACCCACCAAGAATCAAGCTACACCACCAGAGTGGAGGCCACAAAGAGGTAACATTAATTGAACAGTGATTGCAGTATAGAAACTGTGGTGTCAGGCAACTCGTGTGGTGATTCCCTTGAGTGTGTACAGAGATAGAGCGCTCCTTCACTGAAGCCTTTGGGAACCAGGCCAGAGCTGTTAGTATGCCCACTGATGAGTCAACTTAGATATTTTAAATATATTGAACATACACTCTGTGCCAAGTTTACCTAATCCAGGAAGATAGAAAGTTAAGATGAAAATTATTTTCACAAAATGTTCCTCTGGTTGGGTATGGAGACATATGCCTATAATCCCAGCACTCAAAAAGCAAAAGGAGGAGGATTAAGAGTTCTGAGCCAGCCTAGGATATATGAGACCCTGTCTCAAAAATCTAAACCAAACTGTTAGGTTTAAATGTGAAATAGCCTCCATAGGCTCATTTTTGAATACTTGGTCTCTAATGCTGTTAAGGAAGGTTGTGGGGCAAAGCATGCATAGGAATGGTGGGAAATGAAATAGTCTCAGAATGTGAAATACTGAAGACCATATTTAGTGTTTGCTTCATTCAGTAGAGGGTGTAGGCACCTGGTAGGGGGACATAGACTAGAAAGAAGGTGAGATTTAAAACTGAGAGTTCAGAACCCAGTGGTTCTCTATCCTGGACACATGCCCTTCAGACTCAGTTTTCTGAGTTGGATAATGGAGACATTGATAATGCTTACACTAGATACTCAAGTATTTCCTGCTCCTCTGGTCAAATCTTGGAGATTCTCCTTTGTCAAGATCTTAGGCAAGGGGGCTGGAGAGATGGTTCAGCTGTTAAGAACACTAGCTGTTCTTCAGGGTTTGATTCCCAGCAACCACAGGGCAGCTAACAACTGTCTAATTCCAGTTCCAAGAGATCTGATGCCCTCTTCTGGCCTCTGCAGGCATTGTACACATGTGGTGCACCTACATACATGCAGGAAAAACAATCATATACATAAATATTTTTTAAAAAGATCTTAGGGCATGGTGGCACACACCTTTAATCCCAGAACTCAGAAAGCAGAGGCAGGCAGATCTCTGTGAGTTTGAGGCCAGCTTGGTCTATTTAGCGAGTTCTGGGTCAGCTGGGGCTACAGAGAGACCCTGTCTCAAAAAGACGAAAAAAAAAAAAAAAAAAAAAAAAGATCTTAGTCAAACTACTACCTTCCATTTCACTTTTCCCGGCCTCCTCCCCTGAGCTAGTTAGAAATTCAAAACACATGCATGTGAAAAGATAAAGATAGAAAAAGTTGAGGGGCTACACACACAGCTATGTGGGGCAGGAAGAACTTGGGCTTTAGAATAGGAAGGCCTGGGTTCTCATCGTAGCTCCATTTCTCACTTAAACTCCATTAAATTGCTTAATTTTTTATTAGATGTTTCCATTTTATTTTTTAATCTGTTTTTATTGAGTTTTCGTGTATTTCATATTTACAAATATCCCAGTCACCACTCATCAAAGAAGTTCATTTTGCACCAGTTGGAGACTATTACCAAGAACCACAACTGTTCACACAAAGACATTGTCTATGAATTGCCCAGGCCTAAGCGACACACAGTGTGTCGCCTAAGCCACATCTACAATGCAACCTCTACACCTAAGGCTCACAGAATATACATTGTTTAATTTTTAAGTTGAGAATAGAAATCCCTGTTTTACCTTATTTCCAGAATGGGTATAAAGACTGAATGAGCAATATGTCTGATGGGGCTTAGAAAATTAGAAAGTGCTTTGCAAAAGTTACTTGTCACAGTGATTACTTGGGGTTTGGAAGTATAAGATACAATGATGCTTTAAAAACACAAATATTAGCATTGGATACCTGAAATGAAGGAGAGGCTGTCAGTTGAGACCCCAAGCAGGCACTATTTCAATGGTCCAGGCAGGGAAGGATGCGCTCTAAGACAAAGGCACTGAAGATAGAGGGGGAGGGTGGATTCAAGTACCTTTTTGGAGATTAAAAACAACAGAACAATTACAGTAATTGGACAGAAAGGAGACAACAAGGGGCTAGTGATGCCATGAATCTCCCAGCCCTTGCTGCTTCTTAATGTTGAAAGGCAGAAAAGAAGATGAGGCTAGGAGGCTCTATTTCTATTACTTAGACCCTCAGTGGCTCTGGTCACTCTTCACCTTTACTCCCTCCTTCCCATAGCACTTTTAGGAACCCACCACTTCTACAGTCAAGAAAAGGAGACTGTGCCTTATCCCCACATGCTCAGCTTCACCGTAACCATTGTAAGCAGAACCTATGCCCAAGGAACCTAGCTCTATGTTGGCAGGAAGGCCGAGTGAGGCCCAAGCAGGCATTTCTCCATATCATAGAAGACTAGCTCATTTCCCCTCCACTACAACTGGGTCACATACCTCAGACCCTGGCTTACTTATTCTTCCCTGGACTTGAGGGAGTAGCTGGAAGGACTCACATCTTCAGGATGCTGAACTCCCTCACCCTCAGGTATAGCTCTCTATCAAGATCACCTTGAGTATATGGAACAGCTTCCAAGGCATTAGGAGAATGTAAGAGTTGTGGTGGGAGTCACTACAGCAAGGGTTAGCTGGCCTAGAAGGGTGCTGATGAGGAAGGCATTTGCAGAGGTGACTTCTAGATAGCCCATGAGCAATGTCTGTTTCGTTATTACTGTCTGCTTACCCATTGCATAGGATCCTTTTGTCCACCAAGGAACACTGAGTGCCTCCCCATCTCCCTCCATTCTTCCCTCCTCCTTACCATAAAGCATGGAGCATTAGTCTTGCTGTGTGTGTTGGGGGTGGGGTGCATGTGCCTTCACCTGTGCACATGTATGTGGAGGCCAAAGATCAACCTCAAGTGTTATTCCTCAGAAGTCATCCACTTTACTTCTCAAGACAGAGTTTGTCATTGGCCTGAGCTAGGCTAGCTGGCCAATGAACTCCAGGCATCTACTTGTCTTTATTTCTTTCTCCCTAGTACTAGGGTTACAAGTGCATGCTACTATGCCTGGTTTTTATATGAGTTCTAGGGATTGAGCTAAGATCCTCACACTTGTGCAGCAAGCACTTTATTGGCTATCTCCCCAACTCCAAGATGTAGTCTGTTTTCTTATACCATAGAGTTGCTTTGTTCGTCTGTACCTGTCCCTGGAGTCTGCCTTCCTCCTGACCCTCACTCCTACTTTCCCTTGGTTGGTCTTATTACCCTCTGCCTTACCCACCTTCCCACTGTCTTTCTGCTGGAACAGATGCCCACCGTGTGTCTCTTTCTTGTTTAATGGACACAGCTATCCATAGCCTTTTAGTCTTTCCTGTTATCAGTGTCACTAGTCTTCAGTGACATCCCTTATTGAACACCGCAGTGTACTGGACACAGGTTACAGCCTGGCTTCATGGTTTGAGTTCAGCTCTCTAAGTCTTAATTGCCCCCTTTGTCAAATGGGAATTTTAACAGTCCTTCATTAGCAGGCATGAAAACCTTCATATAGGACTGGTGCATAATTATTGGTTAATATACTTAGTCACTGTTATCAAAAGCATAAAGGAGAGCTCTGCTTTTGAGAGGGAAAAGGGTTCCATTGTAGCCGAAGACATGGATCATGGCATTCTGAAGCCTACTTTGTCATATGACTAACCAAGTTCTTTGTAAAACAGAGGAAGCAGAGTGTAGGGAAGCCTTCTGCCTGTAGTGGAACAAAACTCCCTTCTATAGAATGCTTGAGGGAGATCATCTTGCAGCTTAGGTAAAAGAGAAGTAGATGTTCGATGAACAGAAGTGTTCAAACACTTGTTCTTGCTTCACTCTTTTTCTTTGTCATAGTAGTGTGCAAACCCAGTGACTCGCCCTTCTTTTCCACAGGGAATTTGCCAAAGAGAGAGAGAGAGTGGAGAATCGAAGAGCATTCATGAAGCTGCGGCGCCAGCAGCAGATTGAGCGCGAACTGAATGGCTACCGTGCCTGGATAGACAAAGCAGGTGAGGCCCAGGATTGGGAGTGACTGGAGGGCTTCTGGGAGGCTGCCCATGCATCAGAGACCAACCCATCCCAGTGCTTCCAAGACTCCCATTTGAGAGGCAGCCTAGAGCAGAGCTGCTATCATTGCTTACCCATGGCTCCTGGAATCATTCAGGCCCACCTATGTGGATGGGTCCAAACCAACCTTGATGTCATTAATGTAGAGCCACCAGATTCAAGGTGGCTTAGCTGCTTATGAGAGGCATCAATCACCCTGTATCTGTCAATAAAAAGGAGGTATATGCTTTCATTATTATTTTAAAGGCTGGGTTGCATTGGTGTTATATATCTTTATTTTGTCCAAAGCAAAGAGTGATTTTTTAATAAAAATATCCACATGGCAGCATCTTTTTCTGTTCCTAGTAAAAAGTCAACTACAAGTGTGAATTCACACATGGAAAATAAGGAGTTTCAATTTGATGCTTAATTCAGTGAGCTTTATTCTTCCATAGGAGCTTAGAATGATACTGTAACCCTTAGTCTAACCAACACCACTTGAAATCCTTATTTAAGCTCAGGAGTCAACTTTTGATTATCTGCAAGGGCTGAAAGGGTATTTATGAAGCCAGACAAATGCTCCTCCTATGGGACAGTCACATCTCCTCCTTGTCACCTCGGGAAGCACGAGTGATGCATTTTGACCATGCATCCATTTTGTCCTTTTCCTTCCCAAGGCTATTTAGTAGAGGTGAGGTGAATATGAATCTTTCCTGCATCTTTCTAGAATGGTAACTCAGCCTTACCAGGGGAAGGCAAACTGATTTGCCTCCAGGCCAGGCAGGCAGCTTGACATTTCCAACTGTCCTTGGCGTCATCAGTGGAGGAGCCATCTGACAAACTGCTGAGTGATCTGGCAACAAACCCAGGAAAGAATTCTCCCAGGTCTGGCCATGACCCCCCCCCCCCAAGGTTTGG